TTTTTTTTTTTTTTTTTTTTCAAAACATGTAGGTTATAAATGTTTTGGGAAACATATATAATCTAATTTGTTATGAGGGTTCCTTTCCAGCCTAATCAGTTTTATATTCATAAAACTTTCTCTTAACTCAGAATAATCCAGGTTTTAAAAGCAGTAGCAGCATCAGTTAAGGCCTCGGGTTGGTCAGTATTTAACAGTGTAAGTGTTGGATAAGCTCAGTCAGATCCAGTTCATAACCTCAAAGAAATGTTTAGGACAGTGGTATCCAAACTTTTACGCTGGGGGCCAAAACTGGCAAAACTAATGTTTACATTACATTAAAGAAACAAAAATAGTTTTTTGTGATTTGTTTTTGTACCAACTCAACAATAAACTAAATTTGTATAAAATCTGTTAACGATCTAAAAAGAGCTTCGGTTTGTTGCCTTATTAAAAAAAACTCGGACAATTTAAATTTTCTTGGGTTTAATGGCTTCTTGACTTGTGTTCAGGGGCCAAACTAAATAATTTCAAGGGCCACAAATGGCCCCTGGGCCACTCTTTGGACACCCCCGTGTTAGATGTTGGGCTGTAATCTGTTATTTCTCCTGACTGTTTATAAAACGTTAATTGACTGTCAGATTGCTCTCCAGTTGTATGAAACCAAACACAAAGCAAACATTATTCCCGTCTTTTCTTTGGCAGATGAGAGCGTTGTCTCTGCGTTCTGAACGTCATGCTTCCCCGGGCGGGTAAAGAGTTCCTGGTCCGGATCCGGTTCTCCTGGAGGCCTCTGTTCCAGGGCCGATACCTGCTGCTCACCAACACGCTGAGCGGAGGGCTCATGCTGTCGCTGGGAGACATCCTGCAGCAGACTCGGGAAAACCGCAGGGAGCCGGGCCGAGTCCGGGACTGGAAGAGGACAGGTAAGGGTCGGGCAGACGGACGGCCTGGGGCATCGCTGTAAAATACCTAAAATAATCTCTAATCTCAGCCATGGGAGTGTTAAAGTAATCTTTGACTCATTTAAATTGCTTTTATCCTGAAATCTGTTATTTTTTTTGTCCACTATAAATAAACTGTTCCCAACATTAAGCTTTCTAGCTAATGTTTTAAATTTTTAATAAATTGTTGTGAGAATGGACTTAGTTCAATTGGGATCCAAAATTGGAAAATTTGTTACATTTTCAGCTGGTTCAAATTCTATAAAGTTCTCCAATTAAGCACCTTTTGCTATCCAGTTATTAATTGGTTAATTGAAAAAAGTAGTCAACATATTTTGATGCTAAGTGAAGCAAAAATGACTTATTTAAGTATTTATTTAACTGCAGGTGCATCCTTTGCTACAAATGACCAAACTTATGCTAACAGGTTGCTGTGTTATTGTATTTTAGGCAGTAAAACATTTGTTTTCTTATTTAGAAAAAATATATTTGTATTTTTTACATATTGTCAGTATTGTATAAAATAAGCTTAAGTGGTTAAATTAAAAATTTGATTAATGTGCCATTACTTTCCCCAAATAATTGATGCAATAATCGATTATTAAAATAATCGTTAGCTACAGCCCCAATAAACATAAAAAAAAATCTGATTTTCAACATTTGAGCTTGAGATAAAGAGAAAACTTAACTGTCTGGTTGATTATTTGGTATTTTTCCTCTTTTCTCCACTTCTCAGGGCCCAACATTTAGATTTTCATGACCCAAAGTGGGGTTCTGATCCCCACTTTGAGACATACAAAGATGTATTCAGAGCTACACATAAAGAGCTCTGGTAAAGTATTACAGCTTTAAAGTTGCCCAGATTAAAAAAAAACAAACAAGAAAACTCTCATTTTCAACCTCGCCACTAGATGTCACTATTTTCTCTACA